TGTCTGCTCTAGAATGGTTTATCTTCCTGGCAAGGGCTGAAGAGTCTGAGAACTTGGGTAAGACTCTGTGTTGTATTGGATGTCAGAAAACCTGGGTCTAAATCCCATTTGGGCTACTCACTAGCTGGGCTGGTTACTTGATGGCCCGAGCCTCAGTTCTCTCATCCATTTAATGGGACTAATCTTTCACGACTTGGAAAATGTTTGACAGTGTCCAGGGTTAAACCTGCAAATCTGGGAGGGCCAGTGCCCCGTGTTGGAGGCTCTGTCCCGCCTCTCCACGCGGTTCCCTCACCCTCGGGAACAGGAAAGCCAGCTAGAGGTGAGGATGGTGAAACGAAGCTTAATGAATAACCCCAGGGACGGGCCAGGGTGGGTGTTTGACTGCCTGAGGTGTCAGGGACAGGGCCGTCTGACAAACATGGCTCTAAGAGGGGACAGGTCAGTGACCGGCCCACCTCTCCAGCCTCATCTGATGCAGCCACCCTGTCCTCCCCTCACCCTCTCCCTCACCCAGGCCAGGAGCTTTGGCGCCCAAGTCTGGACTTGAGTCCTGGCTCTGCCTTTGCTGTGTGACCTTGGGGAAGCTGCTTGGCCTCTCTGAGTCTGTTGCCACAGTGTAGGATTCATTGCTATACCCACTTTTCCAGGTTGTTGTAAGGATTCTGTGAGGTAATGAGGTCATATTCCCAAACTCTGGACATTCATGTGCCACCTTCACAATTTTTTGCCATATTTTGTGTCACCTCTTCTGTATACTGCCACTCACCTGTCAGTTTGTCATACTCTGGTGTCTCGTGTGTTGCTGTGATGCTGGAAGATATGCCACCAGTATTTCCAATGTCAACAAGGTCACCTTTGGAGGACAGGTTTCAGCAGCGCTCCCAGACTAAGACAGACTAGGAAGAAGGACCCGGCAGTCTACTTCTAAAAAAGAATGGCCAGTGAAAATCTTACGAGTAACAGAGGAACACTGTCTGATGTAGTGCCAGAAGATGAGCCCCTCAGGTTGGAAGGCACTCAAAATACGACTGGGGAAGAGCTGCCTCCTCAAAGTAGAGTCGACCTCAATGACATGGTTGGAGCAAAGCTTCCAGGACCTTCATTTGCTGATGTGGAGAGACTCAAAATGAGAAGAAACAGCTGCAAACATTCATTAAAGCAAAGACGTCACTTTGAGGACTAAGGTGCACCGGACCCAAGCCATGGTATTTTCAATCACTTCATATGCATGCGAAAGCTGGACAATGAATAAGATTTGACGCATCATTATGGTGTTGGTAAAGAATATTGAATATACCACGGACTACTGGAAGAACGACCAAATCTGTCTGGAAGAAGTACAGCCAGAATGCTTCTCAGAAGCCAGGATAGTGAGACTTCGTCTTAAGCACTTTGGACATGTTACCAGTAGGGACCAATCCCTGGCGTAGGCCATCATGCTTGGTAGAGGGTCAGCAAAAAAGAGGAAGACCCTCGACAAGAGGGATTGACACAGTGGCTACAACAATGGGCTAAAACATAGCAACAACCTAAATATAAAACCAAAAGCTATAAAGATCACAGAAGAAAAAATAAGATCAATGCTAGAGGCCGTAATGCACGGCATTAACAGGATACAAATCATAAGTAGCAACACACAAACTCCAGAAGATAAGCTAGATAACTGGGATCTTCTAAAAATTAAAAACTTATGCTTATCAAAAGACTTCACCAAAAGAGTAAAAAGAGAACCTACAGACTGGGGGAAAAAATTGTAGCTATTACAAATCTGACAAAGGTCTAATCTCTAAAATCTACAGGAAAATGCAACACCTCTACAACAAAAAGACAAATAAGCCAGTTAATAAATGGGCAAAGGAAATGAACAGACACTTCACCAAAGAAGACATTCAAGTGGCCAACAGACCCATGAGGAAATGCTCTCCGTCACCAGCCATTAGAGAAATGCAAATCAAAACCACAATGAGATACCGTCTCACCCTGGCATTACTGGCGCGGATCGAAAAAACAGAAAATAACAAATGTGGGAGAGGCTGCGGCGAGATTGGAACTCTAATGCACCGCTGGTGGGAATGCAAAATGATACAACGGTTTCGGAAAACGGTATGGCGCTTCCTTAGAAAGCTAGATATAGAAATACCATTCGATCCAGCAATCCCACTCCTAGGAATATATCCTAGAGAAATAAGAGCCGTCACACAAATAGACATATGCACACCCATGTTCATGGCAGCATCGTTCACAATAGCAAAACGATGGAAACAACGTAGATGCCCATCAACAGATGAATGGATAAACAAACTATGGTACATACACACAGTGGAGTACTATGAAATGATAAAAAACAATGATGAATCTGAGAAGCATCTCCCAACATGGATGAATCTGGAGGGCATTATGCTGAGTGAAGTAAGTCAGTCACAAAAGGACAAATATTGTATGAGACCACTAGTATAAAAACTCATGAAAAGGTTTACACACAAAAAGAAACAATCTTTGATGGCTATGAGGGAGGGGAGGGGTGGGGGTAGAGAATCACTAAATAGCCAATAGATAAGTGGTACGTTTGGTGAAGGGTGAGACAGTACACAATACTGGGGAAGCTGGCACAGCTTGTACAAGGCAAGGTCATGGAAGCTCCATAGACACATCCAAACTCCCTAAGGAACTGAATTGCTGGGCTGAGGGCTGTAGGGACCATGGTCTCGGGGAACATCTAGCTCAGTTGGGATAACATAGTTTATAAAGAAAATGTTCTACCTTCTACTTTGGTGAGTAGCATCTGGGGTCTTAGAAGCCTGTGAGTGACCATGTGATACTCCACTGATTTCACCCCTTCCGGAGCAAGGGAGAATGAAGAAAAC